GTTTTCCAAAGTCTCGACCAATCAAATTGCGTATCGCTCTGCTTACCCTGAGCAGAAAATGCTCATTATCAAACTTAGTCAAGGTATTACTGTAATGAAACTATACACCAAGCTTCATCAATCTCACTTAATTAGAACTAAAGTTATCGTGTCCCAAAGCATCAACCAATCAAATTGCTTATCTCTGCTTACCCTAAGCGGAAAATGCTCATCTTCGAACTCCATCAAGGCATTGACCTAATCAACACATACACCAAGTTTGAACATTCTAGCTCAATTAGGAAGAGAGTTATCGTGCCCCAAAGTATCAACCAATCAAATTGCTTATCTCTGCTTACCCTAAGCGGAAAATGCTCATCTTCGAACTCCATCAAGGCATTGACCTAATAAACACATACACCAAGTTTGAACATTCTAGCTCAATTAAAAGTTATCGTGTCCCAAAGCATCAACCAATCAAATTGCTTATCTCTGCTTACCCTAAGCGGAAAATGCTCATCTTCGAACTCCATCAAGGCATTGACCTAATCAACACATACACCAAGTTTGAACATTCTAGCTCAATTAGGAAGAGAGTTATCGTGCCCCAAAGTATCAACCAATCAAATTGCTTATCTCTGCTTACCCTAAGCGGAAAATGCTCATCTTCGAACTCCATCAAGGCATTGACCTAATAAACACATACACCAAGTTTGAACATTCTAGCTCAATTAAAAGTTATCGTGTCCCAAAGCATCAACCAATCAAATTGCTTATCTCTGCTTACCCTAAGCGGAAAATGCTCATCTTCGAACTCCATCAAGGCATTGACCTAATCAACACATACACCAAGTTTGAACATTCTAGCCCAATTAGGAAGAGAGTTATCGTGTCCCAAAGCATCAACCAATCAAATTGCTTATCTCTGCTTACCCTAAGCGGAAAATGCTCATCTTCGAACTCCATCAAGGCATTGACCTAATAAACACATACACCAAGTTTGAACATTCTAGCTCAATTAGGAAGAGAGTTATTGTGTCCCAAAAAGTGTGACGGACAGACAGACGGACGGACAGACAGACGGACGAACCCATTTTAATAGTCCCCTGCTTTCTTCGAAAGGCGGGGGACAATAACCAACCAATAAAACCATGTAACCATGCAATGCTGTATAGCAACTACCATTAATTAAATGATCAGAACAGTGTTTTCAAAAATAAACCTAATCCGGTTATACCATTAGTTTGTTAGTTTGGACCCTGCAAGCTCCCCCATTTCCGTCTTCTTCAACGGTACAGAAGTTATATTACCAAATCTGCGTCTTTTCCATAATGGCTGAATGGATAACTCTGAAATGCGGTAAGGGTCACCCTAATAAGATAAAGTTAAAAGATAATCTGAAAGTAGTTGAAGAATTTTGATAAATAGTTGAAGAATTTTGATAAATAGTGACATGAATTGTACTTAGCTAGCGGTTATTGTGATTTAGTCTACTGCCATTGCTCGATCCCATACCTTTTGGTGCAAAAGCACCTTAACTGAGCAAAGGTCCTCTCGTGAACCCTTTTAATGGGTTTCAACACATGCACCAGGCATCCATTTCAATGGGAACCCAATCTAAGAGTGAATTCAAAAGTTTGTTGAAATTTGAAACTATCGCTGCTACCTTTGTTGTGAAAGGTTTATTTGATCTGATTTTACATAATTATATGAAATGTTTCTTTTCTCACATTTCTCAGTAGTAGGCCCTAACTTGGGTTTTGGATTGACGGTCGGGCCAAATAATGATCCCGGCATCACCAAACCTCTACACACCGCCGATATTGGCACCGTTAAGGGACATATTTAGACATTGTGGACTTCTTGATTCCATTAAAACTCATGATGGACAGCAGCTAAATTCGGAACTTATTGTCAGAATTACGCAGGAGCAGCTTTTAACGGAACATAACGACTTTAAATACATACATTTCATTTTCAATAGCTTATGAATTTATCTGCAATCCATCACCACCCTCTCTCCTTTCTTCCTCCAATTCCACGACGCTTGTCCATTTCCTGCCCAGTTGAAAAATCTTGGACAACCACTTCTCAATCAATTTTATTTAAAACCATTAAAGGGTTTGGAGGAGTTGAAAATTTGCCCTATCAAAGTGTTGCTTCACTAAAAACGATGGAATCGAGCAATTGTATTCGATAAGTAACATTCATGCCAATAATAGTTATCAAAATTCTCCAATTACTTTCAGACAAACTCTGATTTGTACTATCTTTGGGTGGTCCTTATCACATTTCAGAAAAATCCATTCAGCCAATTAGAAAAGAAGCAGATTTTGTATAAATTATCTTCTGTTTGACCCTTAAATGTATTGCGACTTCAGTGCCTATACCCTTTTAAAAGACTATGAATACCCCAATTCCGATGCTGTTCACTACTATTAGAAAATAAACTATTCAGTGACTTGGAAACAAACAATTTGTAGTGTTACCACGCGTAAGCCACTAGATCGCGATAGTTTTATGTAAAAGGTCAAAAGAGCTAACTATCATTTCTACATTATGCTGTATTACAGACCCAGAATCAAACATCGCCTCTTTGGAATGAATATGAGGTTTTGTCTATGATACACACCCGGTGCTCTATGTCTAAGTGTTTAAAACAACCTTTTTCAGTCGATATCTCTCAAAATAACAATCTAAGTTCGCAAGTCCGATAATGACTCAAAACACATGTTTTCGAGATCTGAGAGTCATATTGCGGAATACGTTATTATACATTGATTTATAATGTATTATGAAAGTTGAAATATATGTAGGATAATATTCACGGATGCCTGGAACAATTTATGACTGTTTGTATTACACGTGTAGGACTGTAGTCGCGAAAATGCTTAATTTATGTATGTTATCTCCTTTCAAATCAGTTATATCAGCTTGGAAATGGCATATTCGCGTTTCTCGTAACCAATAACCCCTGACACGACATACTACAAGTTTATGTTGCTATTTTGGATTTTGGTATCCATATTGGATCAATCGTTTGTGAAATTAATCGGGAAGTGTCCAAAATTGGTCGGGTTACCAACAAAACCTATAAAATTGTATATTACACGGGTCATTTCGCCAACAATGTTTGCCATGGGCAATTTCAAACCATTTTGGCCGCAATCTTGGATCTTCGGCTCTCCTGGAGTTAGCTCGAAGATTTCAGAGGTAGCAAACTACATATATCTTCCCTATGGTCAATTCTATCAGAAACCATCGTCAAACCTTGTTCCCCGAGAAATGGTCACGGATCTGGTGTTTGTGACCCCGACTACCATGTTTGATGTTATTCGTAAGGATGGAAATAGTGTGTTAATTCAGAGTGAAAATGCACCGTATAATCAATATCTTAGAAATGGTATCATGGAAAAGTATCTAATAGTAACAGTGAAAATCAAATAGAAACTTCAGAGTTGCTTATTATGGAAAGTTAGTCAAATGAGTGTGATCCGTGATAGGTTGAAGTACATGTACAATTACCTGATGCTTTTGCAACTGAATTAAGATTTCGAAGAAAACAAAAATGCCAGAAAAGTACAAAGACTATGAGTGTTATATTAACTCCATTTAAATAAAACTTTAGGTATAGATGTGTGTTTTAATTTGTGATGATTTACTAAAAAAAAGTTTTAATTTAATACTCTAATGGTACTATAAACATTTAAAGTGATAGTAATATTTTAAAAATATTAGTTCAGATTTCAACGAAGAAAATTTTGAACACTCAGAATAAAGAAAGGGATTGTAGTATCTGTAGATATAAATAATACTAATGTACATGTATGTCCGCGCCTACATGGTGATTATAGACAGAGTTGCCTGTTATTGATTAGTTGTAAAGTTGAGTTCAGGTTGAATAATACGTGGTCAAATTAAATTCGTCTGCCAGATTATTTTATATGGTTAACTCCAAAAGTAAAGAAACTGTCCCTTGGCCATCTAACTCTATAGAATCCAGTCTTTCTCTGTGAGCTACAGCAATTTCTAAATGATTGCCTATGCTAAGTTTTTCTTTTATCTTACCAGTTCAGTACGATTTTCACCAGCCCCAAATACCCGTAAATTATGTTATAGGCCTTTCGTGTGTATTGTTCCGAGATTATTCATTTTATTTTTCAGGGCCGATAATTCTTCGTTCTAGTGCTTTAGTGTCTTCCCAATTAATTTAAACCTATTATGGGAGCTATAAAAGGTTTAGTATACTTTAATTAAAACGACTGTATTGCACACTAAACATGTATTAACACTTTTACTTTGTCAGCGTGAGTTCGTATTCACTATTCATAAGAAAATAGTCTGATAGAGAATATCAATATATTTACCATATTTGTGTCCTTATATCATTCGCATGATAATTTTAATCTGATTAGACATACGTAGTCACTTGTTTAAACAATTTGATTTAATGTTGACATGGTTACACGTGATTAATTTATCTGAAGTATCTTTAGAACAACTTTCTAAAGTCGCTATCTTGTTGAAAACCCACTGTTTAGATGTAAACAATGATAATTTTAATCAAGTTCATAATTTTATTGATATGTCAAATAGATTTTAATCTCGATCCAATTATTATTTTCTTTTCAATTTTATGCATATCTTTGGCCTGTTCTCCCACGTTGTTGGCTTTCACCAGTTCACCAGTAGGCACCTTGTTATTCTGGCATAATCCGGATGTATGGGTGTGCATGTATGTATACTATAACCTACAATTTTTAGTACACATTTTCATCCATTTTATTATATATACATGTGTGTATGTTTACCATTTTAAATATTATATACAGCCTTTGTTCTAGGCTACTATATGGTACTTGATTTCACCTTCATTCGAATAAGCAGCATACCTAATAAATTATGTTGAAATCCATTAGTCGGAGAAATCGAAAATGTATCTAAACATGACCAGACGGGCATATGTCACTTCGTGCTGATAAAAGATTAGTGATAAATTCGATTTGATTATTCTTATACCTGTGTCATTTGCAAGAGCCAACTTTCCCAGGCCTGAAATATAACATGTTTTTCCACAAACAGTGCAAATTCCTGTAACCACTTGGTCATTATTTGAGTAAACGCTAGTTCCGCCAACGAGCACCTAGAAAGAAATACAAATTATTTATTTCAAAGTCTCCTATATGTTTTAAAAGTCGGTTGATATTGTTTACACTCCTCAAATAGTAACAGGGTTTCTATGTCTGTACTAAGGTTTACGATGGTTGCCTTCCACAGGAGAGTTGAAACAACTGATTATGCCTAACATGGCAGTTTGTGACTTTGATCTAGAAAATGAAATGAAATGGGGTTTAACGTTCTACTGTTCTGCTCCGAACTGGGCTAATAAAGACAGGCATACGCCATACAGTGTGCTATGAGAGAAATTTTACCCGGATAGCGGCACTAAGGCCTACTCATATATCGAATTCCAACTGCCAAGGGATCTTTTACGTGCACGTCAATGTATACACGGGACCTCGGTTTTTCGTCCCATCCGAACGACTAGACAACTGTCCTTATCAGGCCCTCCGTCCTGCATGCTTTGGTCTAGGGTCTATTAGATGTGATAAAAGATGGTGAAATGTTGTTCGTCTGCTGCGTGGTCCAACAGATGCTAAACATGGTAATTACCCAATGTTTATATTTGCAGCTATTTATATGAACATTTAGAAATATTTTAAAATATGAAAAGCCTGAATGAAATGTAAATCGAAATGGCGCAAACAACCCCCCCCCCCTCCAAAAAAAAAAAAACCAAATAAAAAAAACCAAATAAAAAAAACCAAAAAAAACCCCAATAATAATAATAAATAATAGAGCATTCTTCTTAAACTATCAGATTTGTAAAAAATAATATCTGCATCTGCTTGCGAAAGAACGTTCCGACCGGTCAAAATTACGTCACTTACGAGAATTTGCACCCTGAAACATATGAATTCTGTATTATACATATCGGGCAATAAATACATGTAATTAACCCAGAATCCATAAACTGAAATTAAAAAGGCAAAAAATCGTAAAAAGTGATCCTGCTAGAAGCAATTTTTGACATCTATATGATCCTATTGATCCAATCTATATGTCCATTGGAATCATAAATCATACTAAATATAACTTGACTTTAAAAAAAAAAAAAAAAAAGTTTTGAAGGCTTAAAATACAGGTTTTGCCAAAATGACATTACTTCCGCATATAATGAAAATCTACGATTAAGCATCGCATGGTGAAAATTGTATGAAAATCGAATAATAATTGAAAATTCTATGGACCAAAAACCATGACAAGTGAATTGTAGAAAATCGTCAATTTTCTCGGCATACGATCGCATGGTTTCATTCTATTCGTTGATTGGAAGCAAATATCTTAATTATAAACAACTTACAAATACGACTCAGTTGAATAAAATATTTGTTTTGAGGCTAAAAATATATTTTTTGCCCAAATGACGCCATTTCCGGTTATATTGAAAATGTTAAATTAGTTTGACTCATTTACAGGCAAAACAATAAAATAAAAATAAAAGTGGCCCATGCAAAAGTGACTATTTCTCGGCAAATGCTCATATTACAAACTAATTTTGACATGCATTTTCTTCGTATGGATTAATACGACAAGGGTATGAAAGTTTCCAAGAAATATTTTAAAAAATGAAAAGCTTGAATGAGTTGTAAATAGCTCAGTTTTGTCCTTTTTCATCCTTAAATCGAAATGGCACAAATACGAATCCGAAATTTAAAAAAAACTGAGCGCAAGATATTTTTACGCCCTTAGCATGAGCAATCATCTTTTGTAAAAATTAATATTTGCTTTCGAAAAATGTTACCGAACTGTCGAAATTGTAGTTTTTGTTAAAGCTTCCGGTGCCGACAGGAGCATATGAACTTTGTTTTATACAAATAACACAATAAATAATTATTCTAGGACCGAAAAACTAAATTAGCCAATAGTGACTAACAATATTTTCTGAGATAAAAAATCGTAAACATTTTTACTCAAGTCAAATGACCCTTTAATCCTTTGTAAAACACCATCCAAAAATTTTCATGAATAAAAAAGTTTTTGTAAAAATATAAATTTTCAAAATTTGGCGCGTAACATCTTCGAAGATTTGTCGAAAATCAAAAATCAAAAGTAGCATAGCTATGTGTCCTATCTACGGCTATGTAAAAATGCATCATATGTTATAATCTTATAATTATTGTTAATAATAATATTACGGCAATATTTTAAAAACAACAAACAACAACAACTTCGATGGTTTCGGACATTTCGCATTGTCGCAGAAATCGTATCGACCCGGTAAGTAGTTTCCGAGATACAATCAACTTGGAAAAACAATATTAATAATAATAATAAGAAGAGGAAGAATAACTAGATCTGCTACTGTGCCATGCAGATATGAAAGTGGATTATATCAAGAATATTAAAAGAAAAAATAACTATTAAAATCGATCAAAAACTTGCGAAGTTATAAGCCTAAATATAACGAGAAACATTTCACCCGGGCGAAATAATAATCTGGAAATAACTGAGACTTGTATTGCTGTAATCGGATTGAATTCCCGTTTCAGAAGTTTGAGAAAAATGGATCAGAAAATGAAATGAAAATGTCGGAAAAGAACTAAAAAAATGGCAGAAAAATTAAATTAGATAACTTTGAATGGAATATATTTTGGGAATCAGATTGCCCTCAGCTACTCGAATATATAGGTCAAGTTTGTAAATTTTGAAAATTAAGGACATAAATTGTCCTGTTAAGAACTCTATCGGCACGAAAAAGGTCAAAGGCGAAATTCGAAATTTTCAAATTCCAAAAATTTGACCCTGATCTCGGCTATCCAGAACTGTATTCATTTCGGAAATAGGAGACGAATTCTCCAAACTAAGGCCTACTGTGTTTATTTTCACGCCCGTTGATTTTTCCCTTTTTTTCATATTTAACTCTCACGTCTGTAAGTGAAATATCGCAAAAGCCTTGGGGATTTTTCGCGTTTCAAGATGGTGGCACTTCGGATTCGATTGACAAACTGCATATTTTGTGTACCCACCATTAATGTCTTAGCTAGTACAGAAAGAAGAATTCAAGGCAATCTTACCTATATTTTGTCGATAGTTTTGAAAAATCTGATCCTTAATTTCTCAAAGGGGAGATAAGTTATGAAATTTCTAATGACATCTTTCAAGTCGCATCAGTAAGATCTAATTACATTCCAAATTTCATGAAAATCTTGCAAATATTAAATCACAGCGACGTATTTTAAAGAATTAGTAAAATAGGTGAAATAGTCACAAAGTCACAGCTTTGTAGGTCATTTTTTTTGTTCGAAAAATTCGCTGATTTCGAATTCGTAAAGTATTTTGAAAATAGTTTTAATCCATAGCCACCATCCATTCTTCGGAAGGTAGGTCAAAGCTCCAGTGAGATCCCATGGTTAGAATCTGAGATATAAGATTTATGGGGGAAAAATAGACATGATACTGCCCTATGCAGATATGAAAGTTTTCATATGCACCGTCATGTATCATGGAATATATTATGAATTTAAAAAATACAAGCAAAAGTAATTATCAATGGCGGAAAAATATCGAAAAATTAAATGAGATAACTTTCAATGGAACGTATATTTTTGGAATCAGTCTGACTTCAGCTGTTCTAATATTTAGGTTAAATTTTTTGTAAATTTTGAAAAATAAGAACATAAATTGTCCTGTAAACAACTTTGTCGGCACATAAAAGGTCAAAGGCGAAATTTTCAAATACCAAAAATTGAACCCCGACCCCATCAATACAGAAAAGTAATCATTTCGCAAATCGGAGACGAATTCTCCAAACTACTGCCTATTGTTTTTATTTTCACGTCCGTTAAAGTGGATTTTTCACTGTTTTTCATATTCAATTCACCAGCAGCTGCCAGGCAGGATACGCCCACATTTTCGAGAGATGGATAGAGAACAAGCTAAAAATAAAGTGATTTTTCCTACACTCAAGGGCCATAATTCAGGAAATTACAATTCGATATGCGCAAATATCGAAAGGAACCGAGATCTTTCAAGTTTCAACAAAATCGGATTAAAATTGTGACCTCTATAGGATCCACAGCCTTGATATACCATATTTTTACGCTATTTGAGAACGAAGGGCGGCCATTTTGTCTGTCAGTTTTGTGTCGATTTTCACGAAATTCGAACTCAGCCGTCCTTAGGGTGTAACGGTGATATCATAATACGTTTTTTTTTTAAATCGGATAATAATTGTGACCTCTAGAGGTAGCACAAGCTAAAAACGCAATTTGTCGTACAATCAGGGGCCATAATTCAGGAAATGGAAAGGAACCAAGATAAAAAAAAATTGTGACCTATACATGGGGTCCACAAGCTAAAAACGAGATTTTTCGTACAATCAGGGGCCATAATTCAGGAAGTTATGGTCCGATATGCGCGAATTTCGAAGGAACCGAGATCTGTGCGTTATAAACATACATTTCAAGTTTAAACCAAATCGGATAAAAAAAAAATGTGACCTCTACAGTGTTGAAAAGCTAAAAACGTGATTTTTCGTACAATCAGGGGCCATAATCCGTGAAGTTACAGTCCGATACATGTCAATATCGATAAGAACCGAGATCTTAGGGTGATAAACCTACATTTAAGGTTTCAGTGAAATCGGATAAAAAGATCTGCAGAGTGTGTCTACGGACGGGTAGTCTGTTGTATGAAACCATTGTACAAATTTTTTAAATGTCAGGGGAAGCAGAAAAAAGAGATCGAATATTGAAAACGGCGTATTTTTACTATTTGGAGCATGTTTAGAGGTCATTTTCTCGAAAAGTCAACCTAATATTGTTTTGTAACTTCTTCTACAGAGAGTTTAATCGGTAGTTTTATGTATGAAACCATTGCACAATAGTCCGAAATATCAGGAGTAGGAAAACAAAGAGATCGAAAGAGTGGATAAAATCTGTAGGTATTACCAACGTATAGTGCCAATATCTGAACTAAGAATGGTTTGCTGGTAACCAAAATCTGGTGCTTCTAGGGTGAAAATTAGTCATTTTAGCAAGTAACAATTGCGAGTTTGCCCTGCAATTAATACGACAGGAT